TTTTGCAAAATGTGACTAAAAGACCCTTTTGGAAAGATGTTATTGTATTTATTCTGTTTTAAGCTTCACTCATTCAACTGTTTGAGAAGTTGAGAAACAAAGTGCACATTAGATTTGAAGTATAAACAAGGAGCTCAGAAGCAAAATGTGTTAAGAGACATAAGTAACATTTCCAGTGTTATAGAATGTTAAACCTGTTGACTAATTTGAACAGATTTCACTATGGTTAATTTATTTTACCTCATTTGAGTGTTACCCATTATCAAAATTTCATCAATAGATGTTGTAACCACCAAACTGATGAAAAAGTTGTTGCTGAAATACAAATCGACCAAGGACTGTCTTGCCTAAACCCAGCTTATGCAAGGAATGGATAGAAAGCACAAAAAACTACTAAATATTACATTAGAAACTCTTGTGGGTAATAACTAGATAAATGGTTCTAAAGCTGGTAAAATTGCTCAGTAATATAAACACATTTTGTTATCCCAGGAATCAGTGATATAGTTAAACACTACTCCATACCTTAACATGTTTCATTTTTTTCATGGTAATGCTCATACAGAACATGGATTTACTATTAACAAAGAATGCTTAATAGAAAACCAAAAAGAAGAGACATTATTGTAGCTCACACGATATAGTCATGTCAGCTGGTGGATTGGGGAAATTGGATATATCAAAACAGTTGATCCATACAATTCAAAATGCAGCCCAAAGATGAAAGGAAGCTATGATAGTTTGTAAACAGGAAGAAATAGGGCAAGAGAAAGAGCAGAGTGAGAAGTTGACAGCTGCAGAAATGATGAAAGAGCTGACAAAGAAAGATGATGATGATTCTTCCAGAAGGTAATAAGATTGAGGACATTAAAGAACAGTTGCAAGAACTACAAAGAAAGGTGTTGTTATTTTATTCTATAATCAATAAAGAGTATGATTATTTTATTTATTTTGTGATATCTACTCACTGTGAATTGCACATTTTGGAAAAGTTGTATTGGGTTTACATTATAATGTTGGCGTGTCAATTCGAATTTCCTTACTTTAATAAAATTGCTGTGTAGAATCTTGTGTGATATACAATCTTCTGTATATTTTGAAGCAACAATACATGAATTGATTAATCATAATTTATAATAAAGGGAACTGAACGGCCTTAAAACTGTGAGTTTCATTTGGTAACATCAAATAAACTGTGAATTAATTTCTGTCATAAGTTGTTTTCAGTCAGACTGGGAAAATACTGGTTTCCTGGAAATCTCAGGGAAATTGGAAATTGTTGGTCATCCTGAATAAACTACAATTATGAAAACAAATTAACAGATTATAATTGGGTTAACTAATTTATTCAGTTATTACAGAATTTCATACATATAGAGAAGAATGATGATATGTGTTATGAATAAGATGTATCATTATCATCATCATCATCAATCATCACAGTATAACTACCATTATAGTGCAACAAAACTTTATTTATTCTTAATCGATCTTCCTTGGGAAATTTAAATTTCTTGAGGAAGTCGGTTAAGAAGACCAAAAACGTTTGAGAAATAAACTTTTACTGCATCATAAAGTAGTCATACTGCAGCTAATATGCAGTTATTAATAGTGAAGTTACTGAGATAGTATGATTTAATTTCTTTTTAAAAATTTTGTTGTTCAACAAATGACTAAGCACTGGACTTGGCATCAAACTCAAATTTGTAACTCTTGTGTTAATGCAAATATACAAATTATGCTATCAAAATGTAGAAACTACTACTTCACACCTAAGTGCTAATTCCAGCACATGAACTCTGAAAGACAGCCGAAAACGTTAGAACATTAAAGTTTTTTTATCGTTCATGTGCTGGAATTAGCACTTAGGTGTGAAGTAGTAGTTTCGATATTTAGTTCCAGTTTCTGTGTCAGTTTTTTATGTCTGATATCAAAATGTACCAAATTGATGATCTCCAAACCATTACTGTATTTAATGCATACTGTACATATTAATTTGTAGCACAATCAACAGTTACATTGCCTTCGGTGTTTATTGTCGGTAGTTTGGTACATTATTGTTTGCCTCTCTTGCAAATAGGTCAAGTCTATTATAAGTCATGCTTATCTGTAATAAGTGAAATTGTCATCTATTAAGTACCTTGAATTTGTATGCACCTTTTACTGATATCAATTACTTACTGATTATACTGTATATTCTGTTCTAAGTAATGTAATTATTACCTTTACTACAATAAATTAATGTATTAAATTACATCTTATTTACTTCATAACTTTGTTTCTTTCAGTCACGTACAGTCTTCTAGACCTTACTGAGGATCCCGTACATTTAAGTATTATAATTAAATATATGGGAATACATATCCATTATGTAAATCACAGTTTTAATAGAGAATGGGGCTCTTGTATTTCTGATAGGCAATATATGGTTCCCATTACGATAAGGTTTGGCCAGTCCCGGCATAGGTCTTAACAATAAACATATGTATTTAGAGTATTTTATTGTTATTCTGTTGTTTTTTGAATGTTGGATAATGCAAATGATGATACTGATATTGAATAAGATTAATCCATGCCAATTGAACAGCAGAATGCATGAGCACGCATGTATTTATGCACTTAAGCATACACACTTAAAATACAAGAACAAAGTGATGAACTATAAAATATATTTCTATATAGAAATTTACATGGGGAAATGAATGACAATTAAAGTGCTATAGTAAATGAAAGTATTGAATATTTTTACTTTTAAATTTATGAACTTTATTGTAATATTTTGTATATTAGTTATATTAGTGTTTGTAATATATTGAAAATAAAAAAGTTTTCATTTTATGCAAACAGGTAACTTTGGTAATAAATTTGAAGAAACATTAACACCCAGTCCGTCCACTACTCAACCTACCAATGCGGCATACGATGGATGTAATTACTACTATCTACCGTGGAAAGAAGTAAAACCTTGCGTTATCATCACATCTCAATGGGAAGACATTGCTTTCCGTTTGGAGACTGTGAATTTGATCACAAAGGTGATAGATAATTTGGTAAGTTATCATTTTCTACATTCATACATTTAATAATGAGGAAAATAATCGTATTATGGAATTAACAGTTTAAATAAATGGTAGGACCTGTTTATCAGGCAAACCTGTTCGTTATTCTTTTATTTTCTTGCCTGACAAAGGCGATAATACATCGCCAAAAGTACTTTTGCATATAATTGATTTGTAAAGTTTTATATAAATCTATTAAAAACAATTGTTAAATGTTTTTTATATATTAGGAACAACACATAAAAACAATTCAAAAAGACATGAAAACAGGAAAACCTCTTCCTGAATTAGCAGTGCAATTCATATATATGATGGACGATCTTCTGAAAGATTTGGAGTAGGTGTACATTTTTATTTTATTCATTTATTGGATATAATTACTAAAAATAATATTTTTTATTATTAGTTTTAAATTACCTGAACCGATCCCAGGCCAGCACATTGCAAATGAATTGGATAATCAGCTGAGACAATTAAGGAATGAGGAGTTGCGTAACATTAAAAAACGAGCCACCGAATTGCGGGAAAAGGCCACCGACATAGAAGAAGCGATGTCTGAGACTGAAGGCTATTTGAAAATGTTGCAGTCTTTATGTATTGAGGTATATATGTTAAGCATCTCTGGGAAAGATTTTAATCCTGAATAAATAAATAAATTATTTTACTTTTAATTCTATGAATATTTTTACAAATGATTGACAATAATCACCACAAGCAGACAAATCCCCTATGAAGTCATGTTTAAGCAGAGTTATCCACTATGTCTGGTAGTGAGGGATAGAGTCCAACATATCTGGGATGGACCACCTAAAAAATTTCCAGCAGTCAAGAAAGGAACAACTTTATGTCAAAAAATAGCTTTGCTATCTTGTATTATTATCAGTTCATATCATATAATTAGAAGTGTGAGGAGAAAGTGTTCCTGCACCCATCACATGCATCGAAAAACAAGCTTCTTTACAGTGGAACTAGTGCCATTGTGATAAAAGGACATGCACAAATCTCTTAGTTCTTGGTGTTAATTAATATTTACTGTTGCTAATTAATTATAGTGAGAGCTTCACTGTAATTAATCGGACTATTATTATGCTATAATTAATAATTAGAAATTAAGTACTTTGGTACTAGAGGTAGACGTTAGGCACCACCTCTTATTTAAATTAATAATTATAATAATTTATTAAATAATTTAAAACATTCTGGAAGAAAAGAACTAGCCTGGAGTGGGATTTGAAACTGCAACCTCTGCTTACTGTGCGGTGCACTTGCCAGATATGCTATCACGAGAGTAATTACTTAGTTTCTAAATATTAATTATAGCATAACAATAGTCCGATTAATTACAGCAAGAGTTTGGATTAGTATTGATACATCAGTCTTTGGGATGTTGATATATTTACTGTTGCTGTAGAAATGATTCTTGAGCTTGAAATTTTGTTGATACAAATTGATGACAATATAAAATTGATAATTGCATTGAGACAGTACCTAAAAATGATCACGAAGAGATGCCAAATAAGAGATTACAACATGAGAAAGTGACATTACTCACAACTCATGACACACCAGTCAGTCATTGCTAAACTTTATACTTGTTTTCATTTCTATTGTTTCTTGTCACATAATTCTAAGACAAATAAAGGATTAATCAGTGATTGTGGGATAATGTGTTACCTTTTTTTTGGTTATGTGTACTGTAATTGAAAATGGAAACAAAGAATGTTTTCAGAACAGTACATCTCAGGAAGAAGTTTAAAGTGATTCTTGTAAAACATTGATTTTAAGGACTATCCATCCCCCACAGTTAGAGTTATCAGTTATCGATTTCCTGAGAGTAAACTGTTTTTGTTTAAAAATCTTTTAATAATTAGGAACAATGCCACATCTATTGTAGCTCATTCACACACAAAGAAAAATATCTGTTAATATTTAATATACTTAAAAAATAGTTTGATTAAGACTTTTAAAATTGACTTTGATTAAATTGTTAGACAAATAATGTAGATTCAAATTGTTACTTGAATCTATATTATATTGAAGAATATGCCATAACATAAAAAGCCATGTAGAAAGCAATATTATTAATGTTCAAGGTAGCAATAACTGTTCAATGCTAACTTTTATTTTGTTTATCACATTGTTCTTTATTTAAAAGAGTAATTTTAGACTTAACTTTCTCATAAGGAGTTGTAAAGATGACTTGATTATAGTGAATGTGTTAAGTATGGCTTATTACAAAGTGTCCAAAAAGTTACTGTGCAGTGGAAAATTTGTAATGATGTTAAGTTATACATAATTTATTGTGTATGAGATTCATAAGTCGCATGTCCCAAATTTCTGCTTTGTAGTTGACTGCATTACTGATTGCTCATAGATGTTCCAGTGTTTGGAAGATTTCTTTGCCAATTGCATAATCTCCTACGGAATCCAGACCTCAGTCACCCAGATTTTAGGCTTCTGGGGAACATTTCCAACATTTGCTGTAGGAGAAACTGCAATGTTGTATGTAAAACTTCACTTTTCATTAAAATATTTCTGTTGTATGGTAACTTTTCAGACACTAATCTGTTTTGGCCAACAAATTTATTTTTTGTTTCTATATATTAATTTATTTAACTTGTTTTTGGTACTGTATTTTAAATATAGTCACATTTTTTGCAAAGTAAAAAAAGAATTCTATAATATTCATAAACCATTAGTAAAATCATATTTTAAAAAAACGATTTAGACTCAAAATAGTATCCCGGACGTCGTGATATGGATGCTGAGTGGAAAGAAGAGAGTAGCATATTGTAGAATACCCACCCACCAGATCCTCTTCAGTCCAGATTTGGAGAGATGTGGCAAATACTGTGGAAAGTTACAGTCTGTGATGCTAAAGGTATGGTCATGGATAGATTTAACCAACTTTTGTATTTCATAAAATTTAAATGTAGTGTTTTCATAAACATTTTTATTCTCTGTCACTATTCGGTAGTAGAACGACAATAGCACAAAGTGATTTGGCCACATGATGACCCAAATGTGTAGAGCAGAAAGTGTACAACCTTTAATCAAAACAATTGTTATATTGGATTTGCCATAACTTTGTTTTTTATTGATGAATTTTAAAAGTTCTATAAAAGAAACATTTCCCAAAAAGATCACACAACAGGTTATGCATTGTACTTTCTTTGTTCTGTTTTTCTCATATCTTAGGAACCAAGTTGTAAATTTACATGCAGAGGTGGAAAACAATTTTAACAGTTGGACATGTGGAGGTGTGTAATATCACATTTTAACAGTTACTGCAGTTTTTTATAAGTGGATTCATGTGCAGAGGGTGGTTTGAAAATTGTTCTGCTTTCAATTGGAAGAAGAGTAATTTTCTATATCAGGAAACCTAAATAATATTTAGCACTTTAGTGCCACCTATGGTAAGTGGTTTTCAGAGAAAATTATGGGATTGTAGGAGCATTGCCTAGCAAAATGGCTTTTATAGGGCTGAATAATTTGAAATAGTCTATATGCGGCTTGCTTATCAAACCACATTAAAGCTACTTTACCACGCAATCTCAACTTGCAGTCTTTGGTCTGTATATTTATCTCGATGTTAAATGAATGCCATGGCAATGCTATTGCATTAGGTGCCTTAGTGACATTTGGACTATAAAACAAATTTTACACTGTGTGTGAATAAACAAATGATAAATCATGCTTCTTCCATTCTCCAAAAAAAACTGCTTTTGTGTTCTTTTGAGAAACACAAGTAATATATTTAAACACTAATGCACTAAATTTACTTTGGTATCTGATATTGGGCTTGAGGATTAGACATTCTTCCAGAATCAAGGGACATATTGAGTACAGTTTATGTTCATTTCTGCTTTTTAGTCTGCAGGAGCTAAGGTAAAAGATTGATCCAAAATGAAAATATAAGTACCAAAATAAGTATCTTTGTTGAAAGTCACTTTTTATTTCTTCAACACTACTTCTATTAGAGACCCTTGTTTCTGGTCCTCTAAAATCCCAGTCTTTTGACAAACATATGTCTGTCCTGTCCCCTTGTAAGAGTCACACACAAAGAAAGCAACGTGTTTGTATTTTTTTGAGATTTTACTGTTTCCTGTCAGTAAGCAAAATTATTTACTTTATTGGTTTTTGTTATCTTCTTATAGTATCCAATTCTGGAAGCAAGTTCTATTGATGGTGGCAACTCGATGAAGAATAGCAAAAGTTTTAGCAAATATTGGAGAGTTCCTGCTCTCCTGAGAATAAAATTATGGTTTGGTTTAGAGGTATATGATGTATTTTGGAGCACTAGTCAGACAGATGCAGAAATGTCCGTGTTTGCCGAGACGGTAGGAATTTTACTCTTACAAATAGATAATGTTGGTCGTAATAGTTTATTTAAATACAAGTTAATTGACTTCTAAAATATTTAATGTAGTACGAGAATCAGGTAAACGTATTTGGAAAATGGACGACCAGCGGCCCAGCTATGACTAGACCTGCTTGGTCCGATGCTAGTGGATGCGTAAGTTAAGATTTTTAATTATGTTCTCATAATGTAATATCTTGGAATATTCTGTTTTCTGTATACACACTTTGTTCTTTACTGTTCATATTAATACTTATAAAATGTACATATTAGATAACTAAATATTATAAAAAACACACCTTTTAACAATCCAGTAAATAAACTTTACTGGATTGTTAAAGATGTGTTTTTTATAATGTTCATATTAATGAATATTTAAGCTTTTGTTTATTTTTGAAGATCAGTTCACATGATTTAATGCTGACATTTGGGTCGCAATGTCATCTTGAGAAATTCGCTGCCAGAATAAGTCAAATCTTTTACATTGAGAAATTTCAGCTCGACCACAGTGTGGAACTGATACAGCCTTTCGTGCATCTACGCAAACTACGGGTTGTTTCTTTGCGGTTGGAATGTAGTATATATAAAACTGCTACCACAATAATGTGAATAATACTTGTACAGATACTAAGAGGATATTTTTTTGTGCCCATTGCACACTGTTGATTTTAGAATCAGTTTACTCTTAGGCATCATTTTGGTATACTGAAATATTTTCAAAAATTTAACATTCTGAATGAAATTGCTTAGTAGAAGGTACCATGTTGATTGACATTTGATGTATTTGGTTATCAATGTAATGTCGAACAAGTATACTGTGGACTATTGGACTGATTTCGTCATCTTGATAAATACAAATAATTCAATTACATTGCAAACAAGTAGTTATAGCGATTAAAGGTGGCCATTAGGAAAAAGAAAAATGTTTGTACACAATACCTCTAGGCAATTGCCTACAAAGTCTAGCGGTGAAACCAGCACTACTCTTATGGTTTTGGTTAGGCTCATGATGGAGTGGGCAAGTGGCGAAAGATATGATCCAACATACATTGGTCAAATCAGTTATGAAAATTTCTAAGATTTTGACCCAAACTTAATTGCAAAACTCTCAGAGCAGTAAGCCTATGCCTAGTTTAGAATAGTTGGCCATGTGGTAAATGTGGCCAGCTATTCTGAACTATTAAAGAATATAACGACATAAAATGAGTTTTAAATGCTAATTTTTAATGTAATTTTTGAAAATAACTTTCAAATAATGAAATATTCACACTGTATATTTAAATTAATTATTTTGAAACATTTTCTTTAGATCGCTTTACCCCAGGAAAATTTCATTTCTCCGTATGGATGGAAATTTGACGGAGATTGGTTCATTAGTCCCGAACCGAGGTCTATTGTTCCGTAAATATTTTTCATAAAATTAATACATGGAGATTTCTAAAATCTCTGTTTTAATTTACAGCATGATGTATGATGACGAAGTGTTTCACAGGGTTTGCACGGACGAAATTTATGAAAAAGAAAGTCGAATGCCGGGAGGACCCTGGGGACCCGCATTATCTCCATGGACTGATTTTGTAATTATTTTATTTATTTATTTATATACTTATATATATTTATATTTATATATAACCTATATATAAA